CTGGGAGCATGTTCTTCAGTATCCTTCTATAGGCCACTAAGATATTTGAACCACAGAGCTGTCACAGAGAAACATGCCTTCTCTTTTGCAGTGCCTGGCCTATGGAACAGCCTCCCGCTGAGATTTGGAGAGCCCCAACCCTCTGGGCCTTCCAAGAGGCTGTTTCTCCAGGCATAGGGGTTGGAATGTTAGGGGAGCCCAATACATGTGTATTTATTTTTTGTGAAACTGTAATATTGTCCCTCAGTTTTCCTTCTTTGTACTGGGTTATTTTTAATTTGGGTTGTGGGTTTTTTACTGGGTATTTATTTACTTATTTGGTACTGATGATTAACTACCAGCTGGGTGACTCTCTCTCAGCCCAACCCAATCTGTAAGTTTGTTGTTGTTGAGAAAATAGGAAGTGGAAGCATTGCATACGCCTCCTTGAGTTGTACAACATAAAGGTGGGATACTAACAATAAAAATCAGGAGGAGGAGGAGGAGATCTATAGGAGAGTGGATTTTACAAACCTGTGGAGGTAGAGAGTTTCAGAGTGTGGAATCTACTATAGAGAAGCCCTATTATCTCATCCATGTTCTCCTAACTTCAGGCTGAGAGAGGCGATGACTCTTCACAGGACTTCTTGCGATGTTCTCACTAGATGGATAGATTTGAGTTCTTCAAGGTATTGTCTGATATAATTAAGTGCTATACTGTATAGGGCTTGGTCTAGGTCTTGGTATCCAGTGCATCAACTTCTCAAGAGGTGTTACACTGCAGGGTAACTCATCAATAATCTTGCTGCCACATTGTAGACCAGTCGCAGCTTCCAGGTGACCTCCAAAGGAAGCCCCAAGTAGAGCACACTACAGTAATCCAACCAAGTCATGAGTTACCAATGCCAGAATATCCAGTTACCTGTAGGCCAGGCTGGGTCATAACTGGACACCAGCAAAAGCTGGCCAAGGCCCTCCAGGGTCCAATTTCCACTTGCTGTTTAAGGAGTAGCTGTACTCCCATGCCTGCAGGAGAAGCAGAATCCCTTCTAGGGTAGCCATGGACACTGTGATTCCCTTGTGCTGAAGGAAGAGAGTAACACCACCAGATCTCTTCTGAGATGTTGCCTCTGTCTTCATAAGTTTTGGAATTACTTACATTGAAAAATAATTAATTGCTTAATTGGAGATGCCTTTTAATTATTTAAAAGGGGCTTAATTAGTTAAGGATGTAACGTTTGCCAACTTAATTTGATTCCATCTGACAATATTAATCTTGTATTCAATAATAATGATGATAGTGATAATAGTAATAGTTTCATTCATATATTGCCCTTCTTCGTAAAAGATCCCAAGGTGGAGAAGAAAGAAATTAAAGTAAAACGTTATTGAACAGCGATTAAAAGCATCAATTAAAACATGATCCACTTGCATAAACCAAGGAACTAAGGAGCAATAATCCAATGGGCAAACAGAACATTCATAATGGTGGGGAAAGCAAATAGGAGAATAGGTCATATTTAGGAAAGACTTCAGTCCCTGGAGCCACTGGTGTACTTTTTACATGCTTACTTAGAAGCAAGGTCCAGAGAGTTCTAGCAAACATGTATATGATTTTGGCCTTAAACTTGCTGGCTCTATGCCGAATCAAAATCCTTCCTGTGTCTCATGGGCAATATCCCAAGTACAGTAATAAGAAAGGTAACAATGCCTCTGGGGTTGTCCCTTCCTTGTTACCATTTCTGAGCAGAAATTTTAAGTCTAATTTCTGCTAAAAGCTCTTCCTTTTTGCAGCTGTACATGTTTAATGCAGGCATGGAAGCACACATCCTTTGAACTTCTGTCGCCATAACCCACGCATCCTAATTAGAAAGCGTCCACATTTCTCTTACTTCCGGCAACACGTAGCTCCCTCTGGTGGCTAATTAAACAAGCTATCTCTTTTCCCCATCTTCCTTCTCCATAATGATCAACACTGTCATTCATGGCTTCCAGCAGTAGGTAGAAAGTTACTAACTCCAGTTTGGATGGACAGAGTGAACTCTTGACTCCCTTGCTTTGGATGAGAAGCACGTTCATGCACAAGTTAATTTGTCATGCAGGTTTTGCTCCAGACTCTGTCTGTGAGGATTGTTAATTTGTTTTGCAGGTGTTGAAGGAAAAAATGGCAGGAAGGAAAAGAGCTGTGGCAGGAAAGACAGTAGTTAAGGAGATATTTGTGCTGCGTTAGAAAAAGGCTATCAGTAAAAAATCTGCTTTCTTCAAACGCCAAAGCTTGTTTTGTGAATGTTTTTATTCCGGTGGTTGTTCTATGAACCTCTCATGGCTCTGTTGCCTTGAAGAACTGCCCAATATATGTTGACTAAGATGTGTAGAGCTTCAGTCACTGAATTTAAAGAGGATACATAGATCATGGTTTCCAGTGGAGCAGAACCATAATGGGAAGCAGAAATTGGCTAGCAACTAAAAGAGAGAAGGTTCTCATCAATAACCTAGCAAAAGCGGCTAGATTATTGTAGACAGATACATCCAGTCAAACAACAGAGATTTACAAAGGTTTAAGCTTCCTTGGAATGCATCAGATGCACGGAGAAATTATTAGGCGTGTGCAAATCAGCCCTGATGTGATTCAAACCATCCAATTCAGAGGGTCGATTCAATTTGAGAGTTTGAACTGATTCATAAAATCATTCATCAAACTGGCCTGATTCAATTCAGACTTCTGAATCAATTTGGAAGGGTGGGGGAAAAAAAGTTCTTGCATACAGCCCAAAGTATTTGAATTGGTTTCAAGGCATCTGATTTGATCTGATGATTCAGTTCAACTTTCTGATTCAGTTTGGAAACTGTTCAGTTCAGACATTCTGGCAAATTGCCTTTGAATTGAATCTCTCAAAGGCAGAGTCTCAGCACTTTGCTCATGACAGGTAAATAAAATGTAGGAGAAATGACTTATAAGTATAATGAGACACCGACATTATATAGATTAATTGCTTAACATTTTCTGTCTGATAAGAAACCTTAGTCTCTGTTTAATCCTTGCGAAACTGTGTTAAGCCTCTTAATATATTGCTTCTCTGCTATTTCATGATGTAATTCCTTCATTTGCAGATAACTACTATGAAATCATGTTAGTAGTGAATTTCTATTTATACTTAATGGGGTAATTGTAAGGATGAAATGGGGGTGGGAGAAAACTATGCAGGTGGCTTAGTTCCTAGGAGAAAGGTAGGACGTAATTTTAATAATTATATCCTCAAACTATGAGTGGTTTTTAAAAAAGGTTGCATATTTCAATAATCTGAAACCTGGCTTCATTTTAACAGAACGTGTATACTTTATTTTAAAATGTGAATGACTTCACATGTGGAATGTGGAAATTCCCAATTTCTAAAGGATATTGGAAACTGAAGTTTGTTAAGACATTAAGAAGT